ATAAAGAATACAAACAACAATAAGTGTTGGTGAGGATGTGTGGGAAAAGGCACGCTCATACATTTCTGGTGGGACTTCAAAGTGGTACAGTCAATATGGAAAGTAGTATGGAGAATCCTTGGAAAACTGGTAATGGAACCACCATTTGACCCAGCTATCCCATTCCTTGGTTTAATACCCAAAGGACTTAAAATCAGCATACTATAATGATGGAGCCACATCAATGTTTATAGTAGCTCAATTCACAATAGCTAAACTATCCATCTAATCTAGGTGCCCTTCAACAGATGAATGGATAAAAAAGTGATAATATACACAAAAAAATAAGACTCAGCCTTAAAGAAGAATGAAATTATGGTATTTTCAGGTAAATGGATGGAACTAGAGAATATCATGCTAAGTGAAATAAGTTAATCTCCCAAAACCAAAGTTTGAATGTGTTCTCTGATCAGCAGATGCTGATTCATAGTAGGCGGAGGGTAGGGAAGAATAAAGGAACTTTGTATGGTGCAGAGGGGAGTGAGGAGAGGACTGCAGCTGTAGGGATGGGAAGGAAAGTAAAATGAGGCAGACATTATTACCCTATATATATGTATGATTACACTAGTGGTATGACTGCACCATTTACAGCCAGAGGAATGAGAAATTGTGTTCCATTTGTGTATAAAGTGTCAAAATGCATTCTACTGTGATGTATAACTAATTAGAACAAATTAAAAACTTTTTAAAAAATAAAAAAAGAAAGGGCTGTATTTAAGTAAACTTTAAAAAAAAAAGAGAGAAGAGACAATTAGGACACTGACACATACAGAGGGAAGATCCCACGAAGACAGAGAAGGCAGCCATCTACCAACCAAGGACAAGGGCCTCAGAGGAAACCAGCCCTGCTCACATCTTGGTCTTAATGATTCCAGGACTGTGAGAATATAAATTTTTGTTATTGAAGCCATCCAGTCTCTGATACTTTGTTATGGCAGCCCCAGTGAACTAAAGACTACTATGGGTTTTTGTGTCCTAGAATCTTGCAGAAACTTGGATATCATTTTCATTCCATAATATTGGGGAAGAAAAATCCTTTTGTAAATAAAAATTAAGGAAACAAAAAAATTTATCAAAACCAGGAAATTAACATTCAATCAACACTATTATCTACGGACTTTATTCAAAGTATTCCAGTTGTCCCAGTAATATTTTTTAGAGCAGAAAGATTGCTTCTGGTTCAGGATCCCATCCAAGATCCCACATTGCATTTAGTTACCATGTCTTTGGTTTCCTTTAATATGGAGCAATACCCAATCTTTCTTTGCTTTTCCTGAACTTGATGTTTTGAAGAGTTCAAGTGAATTGTTTTGTACAGTAACCCTCAATTTGTATTTGTCTGATGTTCCTCATGATTAGATTTAGATTAGGCATTTTTGATACTCTATGTATTTTGGCACCTTATTTTTTGACATTTGACAGTATTTCCTGTGGATCCTTTCATATCAGTACATAGAGTTTCTTCATTCCTTTTGCTCTCTCTTTTCCTTCCTCTTCTGAAACACATTATGTGTATGTTGGTATACTTTATAATGATCAATGTTCATTTTCTTTCATTCTTTTTCAGTACCTGCTCCTATGAGTGGATAATCTCAAATGACTTATCTTCAAGCTTTCTGATTCTTTCTTCCACTTACTCAAACCTTTTGGAACTTCTCTAGTAAATTTTTCATTACTGCACTTACCTCCCAGGTTCCTGTCATTTTTTTTGTAATTTATATTTCTATTGGTATACTCTATTTATTGAGACATTGTATTTGTGGTTCTTCTTTTGGACATGGTTTCTTTTAGTTCTTTGTTAATATATGAAATAGTTGACTAAGAATTTTGCCTATTTAATGTATCTAATGTAGGCCTCATTATGGCCTGTTGCTATTACTTTTTGCCTGCATATGAGCTGTACTTTCTTATTTCTTAGCATACCTTATAATTTTTTGTTGAAAATTGGACATTTGAGTATTATAAGACGTGTCAACTCTTGAAATCTGATTGTGCCTCTCCCTAGGGTTAACTATTGCTTTTTCTAATACTTACTGGTTGATCATTTATTGACTTATATGAATTATTTTAAAAAATTATGTAAAATACACAAAATATAAAATCTATCACTTTATTGATTTTTAAGTGCACAGTTTTGCAGTGTTAAGTACATTCATATTACTATACAATTATTATATCTCTAAAACTTTTTCCTCTTCCCAAACTGAGATTCCTATCCCATTAAACAATAAGATTCCATCCTTATTGTTCTGCTTGGGCCCTTGAAACCCCTATTCTACTTTTTTCTCTATGAATTTGACTACTCTGGGTTCCTCATACAATTTGAACTAATGTTTTTATTGTTTGTCATGTGGGGATACAGGTCACTGTGATGATCACTGCTTAGTAATGAGCAAACCAAAAAAGGAAAAAAGAAAAAGAAAAATCTTCCCATGTTTGCAGATGGGTTCTTGGTTTATTGAGTGTGTTCCCTTCCTGTTCTAGCAGAGCAGAAAGTCAGCTAGATGTGAAGATTTGGCACTCTTATAGGTCTTTTCTGAGCATGCTCCAAACTCTTGGCATGGATGTGGTTTTCTGTGTTCCCAGAAATCTGTGGGAGCTTTTCAAACTCTTATTCCCCCGAATATCTCATTCCCCTACCCTTTCCTTCAAAGCTTTTCAGATTGCTTGCCTTCCTTGTTATCTTTTGCCCCAAGTGGCAGTCTAGTTCATTTGCCTTCAAATGTTTCCCACCAATGTTGACTCCTTTCCTCAAAGTAGCTGTCGCAATTTCAGGGAGCCAAAAGACAGCTCAAAACAAACCACCACAATTCTTTGAGAATAAGGTCTGTACTGCTTCTTTTGAGAATAGGAACCAGGACAAGAAATGGGGCTATTATGGGAGGTGGACATTTAAAACATCACAACGAGAGGCTGGGGTTGTGGCTCAGTGGTACAGTGATTGTTTAGCATGTGTGAGGCCCTGGGTTCGATTCTCAGCACCACATATAAATAAAATAAAGGTCCATTAACAATTAAAAAAATATTTTTAAATCGTTAATGAACCTTTATTATATTTATATATATTTTATATTTATTTTATATATATATAAAATGTGTGTGTATATATATATTGGATTGTCACAACAATCCAGGCACAGTTGTGCATGCCTGTAATCATAGCGAATCTAGAGGCTGAAGCAGGAGGATGGCACTTTCAAAGCCAGCCTCGGCAATTTAATGAGACCCTAAGCAACTTTAGCTGAGATCCTGTCTCAAAATAAAAATGGCTGAGGATGTGGCTTAGTGTGTAAAGGTCGGGTGAGCGTCGGAGGAAGAGACCACCAAGAGACTGTCTCATGCAACAGCAAAGGGTTTATTAGGGGTCCAGCATGCTGGGGGCTCAGAGCTCACTTGAATAGAGCAAAGAGAGAGAGCCCTGAGAACAGCTTAAGCAGAGCTTATATACTTTCTTGGAGAGGGCAGGGAGGGAAGTTCATTGACGGGTCAAGGCGAGTGGGTGGTTTGCCTGCAACCAAGTGAGGGAGTGCATTCTGCAGTTTGGCAGTTGGGGACAGCACATTCTGGGAACAAGATTAGCAAACAGTTCTCAAGATTTCAACAGTGTTTTGTTAAGCATACAGAAAAATGGAGTGACAAGTACCTATTTTATTAACCTTTCAAGTGGTTAAGTGCCACTGGGTTAAATTCACAGTACTCCCCCCCACAACAAATTTTTTTACAAAGCTTTCTTACTGAGCCTTAAATATTTTTTCTTAATTAAATGTTCCCCTGATCAGTAGCTTTTGGTTGTATTCCAGAATTCCACATAACTTGGTTCTGATGGTTACTTGTTGCTGTTGTGGGGGTACAGACTTTTGGAGCTCTCTGCCATTATTGTTGACATCACTCCCTCTCATTTTATGTTTTTAATTACATAGAATTCCAAATTCCAGTGGACAGAGATATACTAACTAGTTCTCCACTGATGATGAATTGTTTCCAATTTTTACTAATGTAAACTATACTTCAGTGAATAATTTTGCACATTATTTTGCATGTATGCAATGAAATGCATAGGAGAAATCTCAGAAGTGGTATTGCTGCAAAAGTATATGTATTTTGTAATTTTTATAATTATTGCCAAAAGGCTTTATCATTTTATACTCCCATCATGAGAATTCCTGTATCCCCATAGTCTTATCAACAAAATGCTTTATCAAACTTCTGTACTTTTGTCTAACTAGCAAAAAATAGTATTTCAGTGTGGTTTTAATTTCTATTTTATTTTGAGTGAAACTGCAGATTTTAAAAATATTTTTTGAAGATACATTTGTGTTTCCTTTTATGTGAATTTTCTGATATGTTTTATCAGTCTTTTATAGGACTATAGTTTTTCCATATTGTTTTCTAGGAGTACCTTATGTTAGTGTGATCTTACTTTAAATACATGACTGTTGATCTTAATTAAGCATTTATGATGCAGAGCAATTTTTCTATTTCCCTAATACATTTATCAATTCATTTTCCTATGCATTTTTATTTTCTCCTCAAACTTTCAATACCTTTTCCTCCAGATTATCCTTCATCTTATATTATGTTTCACTGAGAAAAATCAATGGCCTTACCCAGAGGCCACCAGGAACATATCTGTAGTTGAATAACACTGGATTTATTGATTTTGAGACAAGGGTGGAAGTACCCTATAGAAAACCATGAGGACATCTCAATGAAAGGGTATTAACGGAATAATACTTTTCCAGGCAATTAACTTTCTTGCACATTGTAGCAGGGTATGCATTTATGATAGGCACTTAAGTTTGAGGTTGGGAACTAAGGATCATCCTGATTCCTACTGAAGAGTAGCCTCCTGCTTAACAAATCAACCCTCTTCAGGAGTGAGCGAAACGCAGCGGTTCTCAATTGCCACCAGAGGGCGCAAGGCACTCCTGGAGGACCCTCGGTGGTACTTCCAAGGGCCGGCGGGGTTCAGAGCTCAGAGCGCACGCTAGTGGTGGGTGCCGGGCACGCGCCTGACCGCCCCCTCCCTTAGGGAGGGGGGCTCTCAGGGGCGCGTGCGCGGTTCCGCTGCGGCGGAGGCAGCCGCGATGGAGGACGCTCTGACTGAACGCCAGGTAAGCGGCGTCCGTGGGGCGGGCTCCCAAGCGCCGGCTTTACCCGGTAGTTTTCCTGTCAATGGTTGTTTGAACCGTCTCAGATTATAATAATTAATTCCTTCCTTCCCTTTTCTCGGTGCTCTTTGGAGTAATTTGGAAAGTTGTTACCAAGGAAACGGTTTCCTTTGCCTCCTGAGAGCCTTTCCCCTCTGGGCGATGGAGCGACCTCGTCTGCTTCTCTGGGGAGGTTGCATGCTTGAATTGGTCCCCAGATGTACTAGTCCAGATGTCTCAGCCCCAAGCCCCATTGAGTCTGGCTCCACCGTTGTGATTTTGACCTGGTATCACATTTTTCCAGTTTCACCGGCTTCCCTTCACTATCAGCCCTTGATAAAAGGGCTCCCATACTTTAAATCCCTGTCCTGTCCACCAAGTTTTGGTTTAAACTAGTTTTGTCACTTGTTTACTACCTTATTAATTGAAAAACCTGCTTATCAGTCTTCAAGGTGAAAGCCTTTGGTTGGATGGGTGCCTACATTTCTTAACACTATCCTCATCACATTTACATTGGTTGGGTGTATATATTTTACTTTTAGAAAATTAAAATCAGTGCTAGACCTTTCAGTAGTATTTTAATTTACCAAAGGATAGAGGCACTCAAATAATTGTTGAATGATCAAGTGAATGAATGTTTTATTTCATTTGATTCTCAAAAAATTACTGTGAAATAGAGAAGATAGTTACTCATGAACCTAGTCATTCATTCATTCACTCAACTATGTTCCAACCCCACCCTGCCAGTCTCTTGGAAGACCTCTCAAGATCAAGGAAAGAAGACTGGCTCCACTCTTATCCCTGGTGTTCAGGATAAGAGGGTAAACAACACAGATATAATCCCTGCCTTCAATGAGCTTATTGTCTGATTAGAGAGAGTTATAACCTATACAGTAGAGTTGAGGAGACAGACTTAGAATGACTGAGTAACTTTACCATGGACCACACAGCCAAAACTCAAGGGAAGTAGGAATCTGTTTTAGCCACCCTAGAAACCAAAATGGACTCCCCATAAAATTTGATTCAACTGTAGAACTGATGATGCCATATAGAAACCATGAGGGTTGAAGTGGTCTACTACTTATAATAATCGAGGTCTCTGGTGGACCTCTTAAGAGCAAGGAAAGAACACTGGCTCCAGGTTTTTACTGTGATTAGGAAGTGGAGCTTGGTAAGGGTTTCTTGGTAAGGGACAGAGCTTGGTTGGTGTGAATCTCCCTGCTACCCCAAAGGAAAGAACACTCAGACTTTCTTATAAACACGTCCTGAAGAAGAAGAGGGAGGAGTGAGGCTTTAAAGCTGTCTGCAAGCAAGCCTAAGGATATTGAATCATCGAATCCTCATTACAGTTCACCCCTGATGTTTTAGAAATGACTGAAATGTACCATTTTTCATTTAATTAAATTTGAACTCTTGTAAGAAAGCCATTGTGGCTCTTTATGGGGCCTGCTGCCTGAAACCAGTGAGAAAAGTGAAAGTTCCATAAAAAGCATTGTTCAAGATTCCATTTTGAGAAAGAAAATGAGTGTCTTGATCATTATTGGTAATGTCTAGAACTCTGAAGGGATAAGGAAAGTCTTGGTGGGAGGTGTTATGGATTTATTTTATGCAGATATATGTATGACCTTGATTTATATTTTGGATATAAACCCTTAAAGCAAGGGTTTCAAGAGTTCTTTCCCCAAAGGGTGCAACTCTCAGGTAATGACCCTATAATCTGTAAAAATGTAGAGATGTAGTCAATTGTTGCCCAGAGTATTCAGTATTAAGATGATTTACAGAAGTTAAGCCAGTCGTACTTTATCAGGGACATTGTAGTTAAGGGAAGAGAAGCAAATTCCATCACACATTATGGTGATGCTTAATATTGTCCGTAAAGTGTATAAACTCCCATTGCCCTTCACTATTTGAACCCAAGTTGCTCCTCAGGTAGACAAAGGATCCAGGAGAGGGGTTACCTCTTTCAGTACCCTGACATCCATGTAGTCAGTGAGGATAGGGGAGGTCATGCCCTGCTTCAGTAGATTTGCCAGAAGGCCCATATTTGGCTCAATTAAGACCTTGCCTGTAAAGTTTGCAAATGGTGACAAAACTCTGGGAGCACATCAACAGTCCTTCTGGGTGAAGGTAAACTGACAGGTCATTGAAAGAGGTGTGGAACAGAACATATTAGACAAGTCTATAAGAGCAAAATATTTACTGCTTGTAATTTTAATAGCGCAGTATAGGGCTGTAGCATCAAGGATGCAGTAACCAACCGTGAGGCACCATTCCTTCTTTGCAAGTTGAATAAACCAAATAAGACTGCTAAGTTGAAAAGTGGTGGGGATAATCACTCTTACTGATTAAGTCTTAGTTTCAAACCTTGAGAGCCCTGTTTTATTTTATCCTGGGTTACATTAACTAGGGGAATGGTAGTACATAGGGGTACTGCTCTTTTTTTTTAACCATTTTTTATTCTTACCAGCAATGCACAAGATTGCAAGTTTTCTTTTTATTTTTCAGTTGTTGGTTAACCTTTATTTTATTTGTTTATATGTGGTGCTGAGAATTGAACCCAGTGCCTCACACATACTAGGCAAGTGCTCCACCACTGAGCCACAACTCCAGCCCAGGGTCCTGCTCTTTTAAAAGGCATTTTGTAAGCTCCAAAGACTTTATTTTAATTTATTATACATTGGGTCATAGTGTCCGTGATATTTTAGGGTAATGTATGTTATGACCATGAACAATTTCCCAGCAAGACATAGCTCTAATGGTGAAGGTAAAAAATGCCTTACAACCTTTGTTGTCTATGTTGAATAACTCCCCTAAGATTACAAGTGAAATTTTGTTTAAATTTAGTGGGACCTCAAGGTATAACACTAATTTGAGTCCCAGTATTGGTTAAAGCCAACTGATGCATTTCAGTGGAAATTGAAGTTAATTCAGAACCTGTGTTGTAGAGGCACAAAGTTAATCTTTTGTTATATAAATTATTTTAATAAATATTGTATTTCTAATTAGGTCAAATTATGGATTTGTTTCAGATTTGTTTGTTTCCTCTATGTGTCTAGGTTTCTCTCTTTCTCCTTCTCTTTCTGGTGGTTACTGAATAAATTTCCTGTGAAGTAGGTCCTCTCTATCCTTTTAGGTTTTCAGATTTCTTCCTTCAGACCTTTTCATGTCAGTTTCACTGGGGATAGGGACTTCTTGCAAGTCTACGGTTACTTCACAGGGTTTGAGAACTCTGAGCTGTTGGCAGCAGCAGTAGTAGGAGAGATATTTAAGGGTCCTGGTGAGTCACGTGTTCTCATAATGGTTACTTCACACCTTTTCTTTCCTTTTATTTATTTATTTTTTAAAAATTTTGACAGCTCTTTAATGAGCAACTACCAGTGGTCCTTTATCTTGCACAAAGTATAATCATTGCTCTGAGCATTCTATAGATTAGGGACTACTGCCTGGTTGAAACATATGATTCATTAATTTTTTTAACTCTGTTGTTTGTATAAATAAGAGCTTATTTATTATTTTCTCTTCCAATGGACAGTGAGGTTTCAACTTCAGTGTTAATAAACATCTTGTATTGCATGTACATATTAAATTGGAGTGTTGTAGTGTATGCCTATCTTAGACTCTACTGGGTATTGCAGATTGTTCTCCAAAGTGGTTGTACCAGTTGATACTCCCACTGAATTGTAGTTTTTCTCTTTGTTGTTCCAAGAAACTGTAAACTCTGGAGGCAAAAGTGTTTGTTTTATTCATCTTTATATCCCTTGTGCTAACCAAACTACTAACAAATAGTAATAGTTGGAAGATTGTTGCATGTATAAATGATGAACTATAGAAGCAAATATATTAATTTCTATCTTATGAAAGTTTAAATATTTTTCTTTAAACAATAACTTGTTTTGAACATTAATTATTTTTAAAATGGACATTTCTCAATAAGTAATTAAAATAATTTGATATTTGTTTCCAGGAAACAAATGAAGGGGATTCAAGCCTTGCCACCGAGTTACAGGAGGAGACAGAGGAGAATCCTAGTCCAGCTGTGGATGAGAGTAATATAGTGTCAACTAAAAAACAGGGACCAAATTTACATAACTGGAGTGGTGACTGGAGCTTTTGGGTAATATTTTTATTTTTTATATTTTCATTTCAACCTTGAATGCAAATTTTCTTTGACTCTACAACAGTTCATATAATATTTATAATATTTTCTTATTAGTTCCTAGACTTTAGACATTCTGATTTTAGACTGGAGTCCCAAAGACATTTCTGACTATGCCGTCCTTTTACCACTAGAATGCACTGTTGTTTGGTTTGATGGAGTAGAATAGTCTGCTTTAATTTCCTTTTGAGAAAACTGCAACCCAGAAATAAATTCCACTTATATTGTCGTAAACTATACTGGCAAGAAACTAACATTATATAAGCCATATTTCTAAGCATTATGGGAAAACCAGCTATTTTAATATAATTTTTATTTAAAGAATTAGTTCCTGTGCTTAAAAGGAAGTTTAATAATGTTCAGCCTGTAATGTGTAATAACTATAAGATGCATTTTAAAGTTAGGAGTTTTAAATTTTATTTATGGTGTATTCACTTGATTGTATAACCTCTATATGCTTTAAGTTTTCCATTTTGTGGGGTAGGCACATTGAGATCTTAATGTCTTTTTATAAGAATGTTTCTGTTCATCTATGAATGCTAGCATTTATTATGTTAAAAGTCTCCTTCTACATCTAGCAATTCTTATGAGACTTATGAAACATTTGATGGAACCTAGTATAACACAACTATAAGTGAAATTTGTATAAGATCATAAGGCATATGTAGTTCTAATGTTAGAACATTAGAAAGCTGACTTCTTGAAGATTAGGAATACTTGAAAGTAGATTTTCTTATAATTTTTCAGCATCATTCTCTTCATAATTAGCAATTCAGTTCATGGGAATATTATTGAATCTTAATATGATTAACAAGTTCTGACTTCTAATTAAGAAATTTAAAGTGATAATTTTTTTTTTGAACTACAACCTAAGGAAAAATTCAATTACTAAAAAAATATACCAAAAAAAAAAACCCAAAACACATCCTAAAAATCATGTCATCTATATTGATCATATTATTGTTGGTCACATTTAGAGAAGGTTGATGACTACTGTTGTGTTTTGATTCTTCTGTTCTATGATTTTTATAGCTTATGTTGTGGACTGGGGAGTCTTCATAGCTTTAAGGGCTATCTACAGAGCTAAGTAGTTACTATGGTTACTCTTGGCAGAATTAAAGCAAGAAAAAGGATAACACAAGAAAAGTAAAAAGCAAGGGAATTAGAGCATTTAGAAATAGAAAGAGAAAAAAGAAATATGCACTGGATCCTTGCTACTCATACTATAGTATATGGGGCTAGGAGACTGGGTTATCACCTGTCACTTCATTAGAAATGAAGAATCTTGGGCCCGCCTTAAGACCTACTAGATCAAAATCTTTGTTTTTCACAGTATTAACCAGATGATTCAAGTGTTTCTTAAGCTCAGGTCAGGCCCCTAAGGTGATTGCAGACCCTTTATTTTGATAAATGTTTATATGAATTCACATAAATCAGATTTAAAGACAAATACAGCATTTCAGAATTTTTATAGACTTTCCAGAGGTCACTTACCCAGAAACCAGAGCTATCAAGAATTTAGAGGCTGTGCTTGGATGAAGCTCAGTGGCAAAGCGCTTGCCTCACATTCACAAAGCCTGGGGTTCTATCCCTAGTCCCCAGTTCTAAAAAAGAAAAGAAAAAAAAAGAATTCAGAGACAAACATAAACAAAAAAGACCCTGCATCGATAAATTAGTTCATGCTGACATAACTGGTAATAGGAGACCTCCTAAAATCTTGATTTGGAGTTTCTATAAAATATTTTGCCATATTTAAAAAAATATAGTTCAAATAAGTCAAAGCCAGATGTGGGTGCACACCTATAATCCCAGCAATTTAGGAAGCAGAAGCAGAAGGATCTCAAGTTCAAAGACAGCCTCAGCAATTTAGCAAGACCCATCTCAAAATTAAAAAAAAAAAAAAACAACCTGGGGATATAGCTCAGTGATAGAATATCACTGGGTTCAATCTCCTATACCAAAAATTAGTTTCAATAAATTGAATAGAATATCAAAGATAGGATAATTACTGGATAATAACACATGCACAGTAACAAGAAATAACAGCAAAAGCTCAAAAAGTATTGTAACCTGAGCTCATTAAGTGGAGGCCAACGATCTATGTAGCTAACATGATTCAGGGATGGTAATTTCAATAGTGTGCGAACATCATAAAGCCTACTTTCTAAACACCTGGATAGTGTGACTGTATCATAACTGGTAAAAATGATATTTAAGAAGTTTGGAAAATAAATAATGAATTTTTTTTCCTCTGCCATTTTTAAACCCATCTGCTTCTACCACTGTCTCTACTGTGTTGCTATTTTCTTTTCTTCATTCTTCTAGCAATGAAATAGGAATTTAATGAATATAATAAAATGGCAGAGTTCACAGAAGAATCCAAAATTAACATAGAGTAGCATAAAGGAAAATATTCATGAAACATATGACCTGGTATTTAAACAAAGATCAAAAATGGCAGAGCTGCTGTACTTGAACATACAAGGAATTTGTAGTTGTACCTTTTACACTTTAGGAAGGTTATTCATTCATTCTTCCTCCCTTCCTCCCTCCCCCTTCCTTCCTTCCTTCCTTCCTTCCTTCCTTCCTTCCTTCCTTCCTTCCTTCCTTTCCTTCCTTTCCTTCCTTTCCTCCCTTCC